TCAAGAAGCGATTCCTGCGATGGTTCTACGTCGTACTGACCATCATGTTCATCGCTGTCGTCATCTTCGTACTGATTCGGATTACCCATGATGCAGTTCTACAGGCAGACAGCAACCCTACCTCTGACCCACGGCCTTCTGCGGCCCCTGACCAACACTCGTCACAGCAACAGGAGGTCGCTCCATGTTCGGACTTTGACATTGAGGATGTTTGGGTTCAGAACTTTCCCAAACTAATTACAGAGACTGCTTTCCGATTGGTCGATGTAAATAAAGATGACGTGTTAGATGTTGTTATGGGCTTTTCTACTGGTGAGTTGATTTAAAGTTTCATTATTGGCCATTCTAGATTTTGGATAAAGAAAAGAGTTTGGTATTTATGGTATTTGGTATTTTTGGATAAAGAAAATAGTTTGGTATATATGTGGCCTTCATCCTCAAGTTTTGTAAGCCCCCATAAGTTTTCAAATACATGTACGTGTACATGCACATGAAGAAAAATTTAAATAACAGGTGTTTATGGCTTGCCTTCACCTGTTAAGGGCACAGTTTCTTTTGTTAGGCAAGTTAGGACCAAGTTGATATTTTTTTCTCTCTTTCCCCACAATGTTTTCAATCCCGAGAATATTGGTGTAGTGACAAGCATTTGTCCCCAAACCCACTGAATGTGCGTACAATGTACAGATGCCTGCACTGTGCACTTGGTCTATTGTCATGATTGTAGGGACTACTCACAGGTTAAGTGACAGTTGTTGTGGGGACACAGTCTTTATTGGGACTCAGGAGAGTGAGCCCCACAATCTGGTTTTAAATTTCCTAATGAATGAATCTGTCTCCCAGCCAGCCATGGCATACCATGTACTGCTGTGTACAAGTACAAAAAGTGGTGGGCCACAGCAGTTCCCACTGCATTGCAATGCTGGCTTCTATTTTTAACCATTGATGCGATCAGCCTCGGTTCCTGTATTTCCCGAACAGTCGAAAAGATTTGAGCCATTTGGAGAGTACATGTATACCTACAAACAGTGGTGTGGCGCAGCTTTTTCCAATGCATTGCAATGCTGGCTTCTATTTTCAACCAGTGATGCGATCAGCCTCAGTTCCGGTATATGCTACTAGTAACTAATCCTTACCACTTGAAAAGATTGGGGCCATTTGGAGATTATATGTACCTGTTGTACATGTAAATGCCGTAAAATGATTGCATACATGTACACGCCCATGTGTACATGTCAACATATGGTATGCAGTCCTACATGTATGTGCATGTAGGTACATGTAGGTGCATGTAGGTGCATGTACATGTAGGTGCATGTAGGTGCATACATGTACTGTACATCAACATGTATCGGTAATACATGCAGAGCCTGAAATTACGTTTGGATACCAGACATTTTCCGAGCACTTATTGTGTTTGTCCGAACAAAATCAAAGATGTCCGGGCAAATTGCCCTACCAACACATCAATGACAGCTCTTAAATTATCAGCAAAATATGTGGGATTATGGCATCGGATTTATCATTAGTTTCGTGTTAGAATGACGTAATTACGCCCAAGGCATTCATCAGGGCTGGTTGCTCATCACCGGCCCATGTCACCCAGTGCCATGTGTGTATGAACACACATCTGTATACTCTACTTGCACAGACATGAAATCGCCCCATAATTCTTTGCATGCACATCGTAAAATGTACATGTAAGTCATGCTGTCAATCAATGTTCAAGTTTCCTTGGTAACCCGTGCATGACACAAAACCTGGGTACCAGGCGAGATGGACCAGTAGTGGTTGGCTGCATTCACGGGGTTCCTCTAGTTCAACCCGAGTGTGGTATGCTAGACCTACATGTACGTGGATACACTTACCGAAATACAAACTTACATACATGTAAGTATTGTTAAATAATCATAATGTCGTTGAGCATTAAGAGTGCATTCTGTTCAGATTGCACAAATGTTACACTGGATGTTACAACTCTACCTTTTATATGCATGTAATATGGCAGATCAAAAGCTGGTAATGGCAGAACAAAATGGATTGTGTTACGACATTTTTTCCGAGCACTTTTTTGGTCTAATTTCACGCTCTGTCATATGTACATGTAGATTTGTTATACATTAACTTCCCTGACGGAAGTTTAGCAAACCACTGGTGTACATGTACACTGTATGTACATGTACAGGTGTCTAGTATAGGCGTGGAGGTAGGGTTCTTGGTTCATGTGTTATTTTATTTCATGTTCAGATACCAGTGCAAGTATAGAACATGAAAGAGTCATGCAAGAAGAATGGTACCATGATAAGAACATGTGGATGTACATGCACATACAGTTTGTACATGTATGTACAGGAGGTACAATGGACAATGTGCATGGAGTGCCACTCCAGTTACCATGGTAACAGTGGCCTACCATGGTACATGTTTACATGTATCCTCAACATGTATCAGTGTGTGTATAAAGCACACACGTAAAACTCTAGTTATAGTTATTTTTAAATCTGATTTTTGACCCAATCCTTTTTTTAGTTCTCCAGTTACTTTCCTTTTTGGGGGGATATTTTTAGAAGAAACAAAAGATTTTGTTTTTGTTGGAATCAAGTTTCAGCTTCCGTATCCCTATTCTTTTAGACTTCATGCGACTCCTCCCTTTTTGATCCTTTTGAAAGTTTAAGCGAGTTCCCCAAGTGTTTTATTTTTTTTCAAGTCTCTTCTTTATTTTTTATTCTTATTTGAAGTGTGCCATTTTTCCCCATTTCATTTTTTTCCCCACCTGTTTGTACATGTATATGCCCGGTTTTCACTGCGCATGGTGGTGCCACCCAGTTTTGAAATGCTGGTACCCAGTTTTTCAAAAAGTTCACACCCGTGTTTCAAATGCTTTTTCCGGGGGGGGGGGGAAATTTTCCAGGGTTTGGGTTTGCAAACCACTCAGGGGCATCAGCAACAAACGAAATCACTCACTGTGTAATGGGGTCAATATTGAGGTTTTCTTCACCTAGTAGCAGATTGCTGACTATAAATCCCCTTTCACTTTGATTTTCAATTCATTCCTTTTTATCTTTTTATACATGTACATATGTATATCGCTCATTTTTTTTTTATGGGAGTGGGCATGCCAGAGCTGTTTACATGTAGAGTGAGTTGTGACATGAGTGTCTCAATTGTTGGAACCAAAATGGTGCATTATGCGTCGGTGTAGATTATAGACAATTAGCACTTAATATTCTGTACTGCAGACATAACGATCAGCCATTTTCGTTCCAAAGTCTGGAGTTGGCGCTGCTCTCTCTACATGTGCAGCTCTTGGGCATGCCCCCCCCTCCTGATGTCCCATTATTACAGGTCTTTTGGCTTTTGTCCGGCAGGTGTGACCAGTTATTTTGCAGACCAGTACTTAGTGTGTGACATCTACTTCAACGGTTCCTGGCCCTGTTTTGGCGGCTTGATGGCACTGGACGGCCGGACTGGTAGCGAGCTGTGGAGACACTACACCACCCAGGAGATGTTTGGCATCAACTGCAATGTGGACATTGACCAAGACGGGGTGAAGGACTGCCTGGGAGCGGGCCGAGCTGGGGTAAGAATGGGTAACACAAATATAACGATCACCTTGTTTTCCTAGTTCCTGAGGAAAATTTCCAGTCCGGTTGGAGTGAGGGATTTCTGTTACAGTTCATGCATGTACATGTTGACTCCCATTTACATGTTCGTGGACCAGTGCATAGTAACATACTAGCACATTTAAAAAGGGTTCAGTTAGTGAGACTTGATCAGTGTATGTACGCTGTACCTCGCACCTGTTCATTTGCACAAGAGTTAATTACACACATGTATTGGACACCAGTCCATAGCACCGACAGGCTTACGTGTACTTCATGTAACTCTGTGAGCATGAGACTCGCACATCTCAGTCAGAAGTACAGTGTACATGTACGTGTATAAATTTATATTTGTGCTTCGTAATTCAAATCGTAGTGATTGAGAATGGAAATTACATGTACATGTACATGTGAATGCTTGGGTGGAGGTTGGTTGAAGAGGAAATGTGTATGATTTTTTGAAGACGCGTTCATTACAGAGTTGTCACGGAGTCCATTGCAGGTGCCTGTTAGTCGATTGGAAGTCCATCACAAGTCTGCCACAAGTTACAAGCTTTTTAGATGAACTGTGACAACAGTATTCCTCAATCACTGTTCATTCCGGTACATACAGTATATGACTGGTCACAGTGGCAAGTCCAAGTCTTGGCACCACGGGGGGAGGGGGAAGTAGAAATTCATCTGATGATGACCGTCCAACTAGCAAATTTTTCATCCCCTAACAATCCTCATTACCATTTCATCTCTTTGCCAATTCTGTCACAACGCCCCCCAACTCGTACTCCAGAAAATGTAGTGCAGTAAAGGTTGACATTTAATGCCATGTGATTTATCACCTTACAAATTCATCATTACATGTGAATTTTCGTCTATAACCATGATAACACTTCCCTTTCTAGCTGCCTACAAGGTTTCAACCCAATCAGACATTTACATGTACAGGTACTTGCTCTTCTATACAATGTATATAGTGTTTTGAAGGTTGCGAGTTTAAAATCACGTGACTTGTCACCTGATGATGACAGGTAGTCTTCACTACAGGCATGACAGGGATAAATTACTGCAGAAACAACCTCCAATAAACTTTAACATTCGGACTTACATGTACTGTACATAGCCTTTTTTATTGTGCTTCGTGGACAGACATTTGAGTTGGTGAGTGGCGCCACCGGTCACCTCCTCTGGAAGTTTCAGTCTGACGATCTGCTGGTGTCTATCAGCAACCTCTACACCCCACAGTTCATCCGGGACGTGGATGGAGACGGGGTGCAAGACGTGTTGAATATTCATGGTGGGGATCCTCTCAGAAAGCGAGGTAGGCGGCCCTAGCAAATGTATACTGGTATTCATCATGTGCACGTGGGATCCCCAGATGGACCTACCAGTACCTGTAACTGACTGAGTTGACTTGATCAGTCAAACATGGTGTACATGTGTTTACACCTGGGGCCAATTTCATAGAGCTGCTTAAGCACAAAATTTGCTTCAGCGTGAAAAAAACCTTGTTTTGACAAATCAGGTTACTAGCCAAAACTCCATGTGATATATGTTGTTTTGGAATGGTATTCACCTGTCGCTTGGTTAGCCTGCCAATCACATAGATTTTGAGCTGGTAACCTTTTTTTTAAGCAAGGGTTTTTGCGCTGAAGCAGCCCTATGAAATTGGCCCTAGATGTAATTCACTGTATAGGAACATAGTACATGTACATGGGGAAATCCAGAAATTAGGGGTCCAAAAGTGTGACATTTTAGCGTCCCTGTTTACATCTGACTTTTGTTATTTGACGTGGAAATATCATCGGAATTGATGTCAGACTATTACTATTTGTTTGGCAGGTAATTTGCATTAATTCATCACTCTTGGGATTTGAAAAGGTGTCCTAAACTTACAAAATCATATGTCAGATGTGACAGGGACACGAAAAAAATGGACCCCTAATTTCTGGAATTACCCACATGTATATGTTTGTACAGCATGTGTATACATGCACAACATATTACCCAGTACATGGACGTATACACGTCCATGCATGCATGAACCATAACAAAATTCAGCAGCAACTGCCATTGCAAAATGGGCAAAGTTTCAAATGCCAAGGGTTGAAATCGGAAGATAAGGGATTCTCTAGGAAAATTTTGGCCATTCTACTGAGGCAGTGCGCGTCAACGAGATCGTGAGATGCAGACTGAATGAACTAGCGGTTCTGCTATCAGTGGTAATTCACCAAGTAGGAACTAACAAAGCTTGTGACAACCATTACCCTCCTCATTACTGAAGTCCTCTAAACTCCCTCAGAAGAATAGAAAAGGTTCCTGAAGTAGAAATCTTCCCCTCTGTTTGCATTCAGCTTGATGCAGTGTAAGCAAAAGTAGGCATCATTCAGTTATAATTGACGCAATGTGAGGAAATTCAGGAAAGTTAATTATCCTAGCAACAGTTATGAAGGAGTTAAATGTACAGTGCAACTGGAAACTTTTCAGCATGTCAGTCACAGATCTATGCAATTTTCTGTTCTTCTGCTTGTCGTGGTATTTTACAGGGCATGAGGTGTCTCATATTGGCATTTTACTCGTCATTAGTGGAGCTACTGGTCATGTGATTGCATGGATTGAAGTACCGGACAAGCAAGAATCTTACTACTCGCCGCAGGTACATGTACAAAACAACATGGAGAGGGACAAACAGATCGATTTTAGAGATTGCTGTTTCAACTGCATTACTGCCCACATTAGACAATTTCATTCCTGTTCAGTTGCAAGGACTCTGCTAACATGGTAATGAACCCCTCAATAATACAGACAACTGATAAATTGCTGCGTCATGTTGCTATGGGCCAAACACCAAATTGAAAACAATTTTGATAGAGAAATGAACCCTGCAATCAGTACAAAATGTTGATTCTGATGGGGCACAATTCCCTTTATGGTGTAAACATGTACTTTTCACAGTGTTTTCTTTCTTTTTTGGGGGGGGAACCAGAATTGGATTTGCAAGTGTTTGTTTCTTGTGCTGTCAACTTGGGTTGTTTATCCCCAAACTGAAATGTACTGAGATTCATGCATTTATACCCACCAATATTGCTTCATTTGCCTTTGGCCTCAATTTTTGGCAGCCTCACTTTTCATTCTAGTGGTAACTACATGTACATGCAAATATTGAGACCTCATCTGCCACAGCAGTACACTGTACATGCGTACTGGCGAGCATTATCATTGAAATACCCACGTCTGAAGTTTATTTTGGGTTTTCTATAATCTGGTAATGGTCATTTGTACTTACGTCAATCCCCTTTATGCACTCGACACCTTGCCTTTCAGAATAATAGCCCTGTAGCTTGACACCCCGAGTCTTTTTTTTTACCGCAGGTTTACTACCAGCATGGTGGGAGGGAGATGGTTTTGTTTGGGTCAGGAGGGGAGTCGAAGGGCGGGTCACTGTGGGTCATCGCCATGGCAGACTTGCTCCAAGGTGACAACAGCAAGGTATCAAATACATGCATGTCAGATCTACAGGAGGTGAAGGAATCTCTCTGGTAAAACTTTTGAAGCTGAAGAGTGCATTTCCAGGTTAACGATGACAGAGGTTGCCGATACCATTGTTAATAGCACAACCAATGCATACTCACTTCTGCCAATTGAGCCCCTAAAACTTATACGACAGCTTCCACTTCATGTACACATGGATTAATTTTACTTTTGCACAGATAGCTACATGTAGCGTAAAAATCCAGAAGCAGTGTCTTTGCTCCGCCACTGCAGGTGCCCATTAGTGCTAGCAGCTGAGGCTAGATGCACAAATTTATACATTGTACAGTGTACAGAGTGTGTCCAAATTAAATGCAGTGGCAAAAATATTGTACACCCAACCATTGTAGTGACTGTAGCCATAGCCTTGTCTGCTACTTCTGACTTGCCAGTGTCTTTCTTCCAGTAGTTTTTTGGCATACTGCGCGATATCTATACCAATCCTAATGGCTACACTTGGACCCACGGTGGATGGAATTATTCACCTAATGTTGAGCTCTGCGAACGTTGCTGCATTCCACTGTGAGGATTCCTGCATTGTACATGGACATGTATCTGCAAAATATCCCGCACCACATGACATTCTGTCCCTGAACATTTACTATGATGACCCGATCTTCGGGTATTTTTTGTTTTTCATCATCTGCTACAGGCTACTCGGATCTATACAGATAACGTTAAGGGCATCATGACCCCACCCGCACTCGTGGACATCACTGGTGATGGTGTGGTGGATATCGTCATGGCGATGTTCAACTCAACTGTTGTCGCTTTTGACGGGCAGAGCTACAGCCAGCTCTGGAACTATTCTTTCGCTGAATCAGAGACATACAGGTACATATAGGAAATTAGGCTGTGCTTAATGGTTATCATAAACAGAGCTGACAAGGGCTCGTAATTAATTAGTTAGTGGAGTACTGGAGTAGTTGCCCAGGGGCTTGGGCTGAAGTCCGGACACAGCTTTCAGAGCTTAAAGTGAAGCTGCAATCAGTTTTTCTTCAACACAATTTTTCTGCATCTTTGTACTTTCCTTCAATGTATGAAAACTTTTACACACTCCTATTTGGTTAAATGCTTCGAAAAGTGCACACTTTTTAACAATCAAAATTGTCCGTGTTTTCCTGGACAACTGAGGGCGCTGTTGCAGTGAAGTTGTCTGAGGAAGACATGTTTCAGTGCATAGGTATTTCTGTACAAATTGTGGACCCGGAATTTACTAACTAAAAACATTTCTGAGAGAGGGACTGATAGTTTCCTATTGCTTTGCTCATAAACAACAAAAAAGAAAAAAACAGCAAAGAAAAAACTTAGTCCAGGAAAATCTGGAAAAATGCAGGACTATTTAGTGTAAAAACGTATGTAACATTGAGGCTTCTTCCTGAGATGACATCGCAGTTTTGCTCATGAATATGGAAATTTTCATTAGCATAAAAACAAAAAAGCAATAAAATACCCTTTGAAATAGTGAAACCAAAGTTGAAAATAAGGTTTACTGAGGCACAAAGGTGCATTTTACAGGTTTGTAATCAAAACCATTGATTTTAGCTACACTTCAATTTAAGTTACACGGCCAAGTAGTCAGTTTGCAGGATTGTTGGAGCTTTTCATTTTCCGTCGTTGTTTTTATTTCGTATTCCAGCACTCCAGGTGTAGCATACTACAACGATGATAACATTCCAGATTTTATGGTGGTATACAATCACGGGCCAGGTTATCCAGTCTACTACTATTCACAGGTACATTGTACGTTCCACAAGCTTTCCCTATCAGAAAAGATTACACTGTATCTAAACCCTAGTGAATCCTGATGAAGTGTCGGAAATGGCCAGTGGGCCATGTTCCTTTTGACTGCTGGCGCTGGTCAGAAGCATGTTTCTGCTTCTGCTCCATTCTGCGCAAACACCCTGCCTTGAAGGGTTATAAACGTACAGGGGTAGTGTTGACCGTAGGCAACTACTTAGCCTAGAGGGTGGGCACGATTTAAAA